AAAAAAACAACAACAAAAACTTGCCAACTACACTACCCTAAAAGGAATCCCATAGCTCCTTACTTCTATGACCAACGTCTTTTTTCCCTAAATGGCAGGGAGTCTCAAACTCTCAGGACTCATTTGAAAAGCATGATCTTACTTTGCCACGTGTAGATGGGAGTATGCCCTTTTCTCTTCTTGCACTTTCACCTCTTTCCTTGAAACTCAAGGGATGTCAACACATCAACATTCTATACAAGCACCCCTAACATTCTATAAAACCCCTGTGGTTATTGTTAAGTGCCCTTAAGTCAATTCTGACTCATAGAAATCCTATAGAGGGTTTCCTAGAAGCAGGTGGTGGGTTTGATCTGCTGACCTGTGGTCCTCAGTCCAGTGTTGATCAACTCTCCATTACTGGAAAATGTGAACAAGCCTTCTGAACACATCTCAGATATGCTACAAAAGGCATCCTTGTAATAGGTTCCCTGTGTTTCTGCTCCCCTTTATTTCTAAGGGGGAAGATGGTCCCTTCTGTTTCTAAAACTGATAGATGCTATGTGAACATTCGACTCTAGAAAAAATGAACACAATTTTCCAACAGTGAGAATATTCCCCCAAGTTACGACTGGAAGTGTTTGATTACTAAAGAGCTTGATAAAATGGAATAGTGTACCCACAGTGAATTTTGTGATGACTCACATCATTGTCCTTAGTGGTATGATATGCTACACCAAGTGGTAAGTGTAACAATTTTTCAGAGACAGAGAAGTTAACAACATGTAGCAAAACAAAACAAAACAAAAAATTGGATATCCCAACCCTGATTGATTCATGCAACAGAAAAAGACGTATATGTAATGTGTACACCAACCCTTGGTGCCTAGCTCCATAAAAACATGAAGAAACCAGTATGCTTTCAAACTAAATTAGACTAAGAAGAGGTGAGCATTTATGTATGAGTTTCTTCCTCTCTTTCTCTTTCCTTTTTGTTATGTCATAGCATTCAGTGTAAAATGAACATGCCAAAGACCACAAAGTAGAGAATGGAGAAGTGCTTTGTAGAATGGCAATGTGCAATTTACTGGCACTGTTTTTTTTTTTTTTTTTTTTTTTTTAAGAAAGCATACTGACTCTCAAGTTTATAATGTCTGATTCTACATATCCTGCAGAATTCATCAAGAATGCAAGAACCACTTGTCCTTTTCTCATGATCTACTGAATTGTGATCTCAATTTAATCCTTACCAAATTTAAAATAACAAATCTATAATGACCAAAGACACATGTACTGTCAGGACTGTTCTGAGAAATTGGGGACTGGGATCCAGAGACATTCATAGTGGCAGTGGAATGAAAGCAAGTTTGAAAGGGTGTCCATGCCAACAACCCAAACATGTCTATGTTTCAGAACTAGCTGAGAAAGTTGCTGGATGAAAGATTAAGCAGATATAAGGAAATGGGAGCTGCAAAGAGCTACTGCTTCTAATCCACCAAACTGACTAACTTAACAAAGTCTAGCAATATCAGATATGGATTATGAATGCATAGAGGCTTTTGCATTGCACAAGTCATTTGCCATGGACTGCTAACATAGAGTGGTGGTTCTAACCCACCCAGCTACTCTGCAGAAGAAAGTACTGGCGATCTGCTTCCACAGCAATAACAGTTAAGGAAATATGATGGAGTTCAGTTCTAATCTCTAACATGAGGGCACTATAGGTCATAATTGAGTCTACAGAGTGATATTTTGCTTGTTTGTTCATTTTTATTTTTGTTGTAGGGGGCATGTTTGGGTAAGTAAGTAGAGTCATGGGTAGGAATCTGAGGGGGTCCAAAAAGTTTGTGGAAAATTTCCATTAGTTTTCATTTCACTTTCCTTGAACTTTTTGAAGTCCCCTCCTATTAATACATCACTGGTGGGAATACAAACTGATGTATCAACTTCGGCAAATAGACTGACATTTCCTAATGAAATTGAAGGTGCACCTAGGATTCTATCCTGTGGCCCTGTAATTCCATTTCTAGTTATCTGCTCTAGAGGAATCTTGGGCATGTGCACCAAGGGCCACGTACAAGACTCTTACGGTAGTATTGTTGGCAATAGCAAAAACCATTGGATAATGGGCACCAAACATCCAATGACAGAAGATCAAAATTGTGGTATTTTTATGCAATAAATTCGTACAGTACCAGAAACAAAAGAATCACAGCTACATATAGTAAAATGGGAAAATCACAGAATAATAGTCTAATTCCATTTACATAAAAAGATGCAAAACATGCTAAATAAATCAATGTGTTGTTTGGCAGTACATATGTAAGTAGTAAAGTCAAAGTAAACAAATTAATGATCAGCAGATACCTGTATGCAGAATAGTGGTTACTTCTGAGGTAGGGTCTTGTGACCTAGGTGAGGTACACAGGCAGTTATAAAGGAACTGACAGCACTGACATTCTTAAACTCAATGGTGAAGTAATGTTTAATTTACTGTAATGTTTGATCTCATATGTTATATCTATGTTTTACTCATATCTATTGTATCAGACTCTTAATTTGGGGCATCTAGGAGCTCTGGTAGCATAGTGGTTACATATCGAGCTGCTAAACACAAGGTTGGCAGTTCGAAACTACCAGCTGTTCCACAGCAGAAAGATGAGGCTTTCTGCTCCCGTAAAGATCTGCAGCCTTAGAAACCCTGTGCAGGGCCACTATGAGTTGGAACCAACTCCATGGTACTTAACAATGACAACAAGGCAGTATTTCACATAAAGATTTGTGTGTGTGTGTGTGTGTGTGTGTGTGTGTGTGTGTGTGTGTGAGCTTTTATTTCTTCCCACGGATTAGGTATTTGGAGATGTAAATGCATTCTTTTTTTCAATTTTTGATGAAAATGTACACAAATCCTACACCATTCAACAATTTCTACATGTACAGATGAATGCCACCGGTCACATTCTGTACATTACATCACCATTCTCTCTCTATTTAGCCATACTGTTTCACCACTGTGAACTATTACTCTCTGTGCTCCCTAAATTTCTGATCTGTGCTTTAAAGTTATGTTGTGAACTTGTTCTCATATAGATAATTCTTTAAGAGAGTACAATATTCACGGCTGACATTCTCTATTAAATGAACCAAACTATTGTTTATTTAAAAAATAACTTCATGTTTTAATTTTAGTTCAAGACTTAAACATTATCTCAGGACAATAGATTCAAGTGTTCATCTGGTCTCAATGGAAGAAGTCTAATTTCCTTGACAATTTGAAGTTCTGTTCCATATTTACCTCCTTTTGATCCTTGTGATAGTGAAGGTTTTGTGTGAACTTGACTGGGCCAGGATTCTCAGTGGTTTGGCTTACTTTAAGATTTTGATGCTCTACTGGATTGAGGTGGAGTCCTAGTGTGGTGCTGTGGGTTAAAGCATTTGACTGCAAAGTCAGTTTGAACCACAAGGTCGGCAGTTCAAATTTACCAGTTGCTCCTTGGAAACCCTATACAGGGGCACTATAAGTCAGAACTAACTCAACAGCACTTAACAACAACAACATTGGATTAAGAGCCACTAACCTATACACATACTCACTCACTCATTCAATCATTCACTCACTCACTCACACCACAATATCATGAGTATACAGGTGAAAGAACCTTGACACATAAATCAAGGTCAAGCAATCTCAAGAGAGTAAAAAGAAAACAAAAGATCAGCTGGGAGCATGTGTAGAAGGGGAGGGTATTTAATAGTTCTGTTGTTCTGATAGGACTCAATGCTATTGTATAAGCCTAAGGGCATTAATGATTTTTGTATCGTCTTCCTAATCAGCATACCTGAGTTCCTGTTAGACTCCTGAGTAGCACTGGTCTCGGAGGGATAATCACTCCCAAATCATTGGGCCACACAGGAATCTTTGGCGATAGCTTTTACTATAAAGATAGTAGGGGATAGTACCTTGGCCAAGGACATTCAAACATCTAGAACTGGATCTACACTTAAAGCTGTGTGATTGTGGGTAAGTCACATTCCTCCTCTGAGCCCTAACTTTTTCATCTACCCTATCTCCTTTATAGAACTCAAGTCCAATATGACTGTGTAGGTTGGCATTTTTACAAATTGAAAGTTTTCTCTAAATGTATGATAAGCCCATGATCATTTATTATTTCTTCCTAAAAAACAAACAAACAAAAAACAGAAACACAGGCTGCCAATTCTGGGTCAATAGACTTTTCTGGGTCCAAGGAATTAGAAGCCTCAAGTTTTGGCTTGGACAGACCTGAAGGCAGGACTATGCCTTTTGGTGCCTCCATCTCTCTCTCTAGAAACTCAATAAATACTTAACAAGCACTTGTTAATTACCTACAGCTTACCTTTTTCTAGTCCCTGCTCATTCAGACCTGGGTATTTATAAATATATCAAAACTACTAGAAACACAACACAAAGCAAATATGCAGTCTGAATATTCACAAATGGTTCTGAAACTACCATTTTACCCATTTCTACAATACCTCCCAAATTAGGATAGCCAGATTTAGTAAAAATATAGGACACTAAATGAAGTTTGAATTTCTTAATACAATTTGAATAATTTTTAGTATAAGTATGTCCTGTATGTTGCATGGGACATTCTAATAAGAGAAAATTATTTGTTGCTCATCTTAAATTCCAATATGGGTGCATTGTATTTTATCTAATAACTCTAAACCAAATGAACAAACCAATCAACACTTTGTTTCACATCTTACATTGGGAAAGCCATAGGAAAAGTGTTATGAAATCAAATTTCCATTAATTGGTAAAAAAATAAATAAAAGGGTTACACTGATCTTGACATTGGACTTGCATCATCCCCTTCCTTGTGTGGACCCCAAATACATAGAAAGGCACAGATATCAAAGCAAGTGTTCAAAGAAAATAGGGCAGAGTTGAGGGGTGGGGGATGTCTCATGATTTCAAACTGAAATAGGCCTTGTTGTCACCCTCTAGGACACTTTCCAGTGCTCTGGACCCTTACCTCTTGGCATCTCTTTGGAGTGCTCTGCTTCAGGCCCATTCAACAGGTCCAATTGGGAGGCCTCTTCAGAGGGGACGCGGCGCCAGGACCAGCTGTGGTTCCCATGGTCATGCAGCGGAGGGGAATACTCCAGCTCACAGGGGAAATCAAAGCTGCATTCCAAACCTGCAATGGTAGCCAGGGTTAGTGGAGTTAGTTAGTCCCCCCAAACTGGCCTATCAGCCTTCCCTTTTCCCTACTACTCTGCTTCAAGAGGTTGTTGAGTTCATCTCATTCAAAAGTGTTACCCTCTGCAGGAGTAAGATGCTGCCAGTTCCACAGGGGGCTGGGCTCCATAACAGTAGCATAAAACATATGCTTTTGATATTTCAGTTTATAAGAGGTGTCCTCAGAGAAGGCAGGTAAAAATAGAATTAACAGATTGGACCCTGAGAATCTCCACATCCTATGAGGTTACATGGTAACATGGAAGGGGATCTGAGATCAACTGAATAGTCCTGGGACTTTGCAACCAGGCAGATTTGATTCTGACTCTGCCATTGGGTGACTCCAAGGAAGACCGTTACCTTCTCTGACCCTAAATGTCCTCGACTGTAAAATGGAGGCAATATAGAGCCTTGGTAATACAGTGGTTAAGTGCTCATGTACTAACTGAAACCAACCTAGCTCAGGTACTAACTGAAACCAACCTACCAACTGCTCTACAGGAGAAAGATGTGACAAGTCTGCTTCTGTAAAGATTTACAACCATGGAAAACCTATGGGGTACTTCCACCCTCTCCTATAGGGTCACTATGAGTTTGATTTAACTCAAGGGCAGTGGGTTTTGTTGGTGGTGGTTTTGCTGTGTACTATGGAGTCAAGGAATTCTGGTGTGATGCTGTGCGTTAATCAACCAGAATGCAAAGCCATTTGAACTGCAAGGATGGCAGTTCAAGCTCACTAGCTACTCCTCGGAAACCCTATAGAGAGTCACTATGGGTTGGAACCAACTCGACGGCACTTCAGAACAACAACAACAAATGGAGTCTCTTAAGGTTTACTTTAAGAACTAGTGAAATTTTATTTTCTATTTATGTGAATATGTAGATAATACACAAGGCTCAGAAAATGCTAGCCAGGCCCTGTTGTTGTTGATAACTGCTGGTTTTTTTGTTTGTTTGTTTGTTTTTTAAGTTTTTATTGTAAATTATGTGATAGTTTACATGGGAGAACACCAGCTTTACATTCATCCTATCGTATTTCATTTCATTGCAATGAGTACAAACCTTTCCATGCATCATCAAACATCCACAAGCCTGCAGTGCTATTGATTTGATCCACACACATTGTGACCCTATACAAGGATTTTCAAGGCTGTAGTTTTTGTGAGAGCAGAAAGCTTCATCTTTCTCCTGCAGTACAGCTGGTAGCATTCAATGCTTATCCTACAGAATCACAGATGTCTTCCAGGCCCTGCCCGATGCCCTGCCCAAACTGTTTCTGAAGAAAAAGGCCACAGGGAACTAGAGTTTAGTTCACAGCCTTGCTTCAAATCTCCCTTTTCAAAACTCTCTCCAGAGAAGATAAAGACCATTTTGACTAATTAGGGTTTAAGGTCTAAGGGATGGAGTCCTGGTGTGACACTGTAAGATAAGCACGGGGCTGCTACCCACAAGAAAGGCAGTTCAAACTTACCAGCTGTTCCTTGGAAACACAATAAGGGTCACTATGAGTCAGAACCCACTCAATGGCACTTGTCAACAACTGTCTTGGGGAAGAGGAAAAGGAAGAATGGTGCAGTTTCCTGGGTGAGGTCACAAGTTAAACAGCAGGAGGGGTCATGGCATGGTACATTGTATTTCCTTTTCTTGGTCTTTTCTAGGAAGGGCATCTTATGCCCAAATTATTGCAGGTTTTGGATAAGCACAGGACTGCTAACCTCAAGGTCAGTAGTTCAAACCCACCAGATGTTCTATGGGACAAAGGTGAGGTTGCCTACTCCGTGAAGATTTACAGTCTTGCAAAGTCTACATTGTGTTGCCATAAGCCATAATTGAGTCGATGACAGTGGGTTTACTTTTTTCTCTATATTTTGAGGCTACATAGATGACTCATTTTCCCTCCTCCCTTCCTTATTCATTGCTTTTCTCCTAAAGTAATTGACAAAGGACTAATTTCTAAAATTTACAGAAATCTTCAATACCTCAACAGGAAAATGGCAATTAAAACAAGGGCAAAGGACATATACAGATACTTCACCAAAGAGGACAGCCAGAAAACATGAAGAAATGTTCCTAATCATAGTCATTAGAGAAACGCAAATTAAAAAATAATATCATCTCACCACAGCATTAATAGCATAGTTCAAAAAAAAAGTGGGGGATGGGGAGTTGCTGCAAGATAGCAGGCTAGGCAGAAAGACTGTAAGGGCCTTCTACAACAAAGATACGAAATACCAAATGAAACAGATGCAAATGATAGTCCTGGAACTCTGAGCTTCAGATGAAGGGATAGATAAGTAGATTGAATGCTTACTAGTAGAGAGAGCTGAGCAAATGCAGCAAAAAAAAAGAGATACTGGTGACCTGTGCTGGCCAACCATCTTGAACTGTGAGCAACTTCAGAGATAAGAAAACACACTGGCTTTGCAGAAACATACCTGTGGCTTACAGAGATAATGGTATGATTATTTCCTTTCTCTCTACATTCCCCTGGAGTCCTGATGTGGCACTGTGGGCTAATGACTCAGACTGCAAATTCATTTGAACTGCAAGGTTGGTGGTTCAGGCTCACCAGCTGCTCCTTGGAAGCCCTATACAGGGTCACTATGAGTCAGAATCGAGTTGATGGCACTTAACAACAACAATAACACACTCCCCTGGTGTCCAGAGACAAGAATGACCTCAACCACCTATACTACCAGGGAAGCTCCTCCTATCCCTGTGCTAGAAGCTGCATGGAAGTGACTTTTAATGGGAGGTCTCAAACCCATTAAAAGAATGGGGAATTGTATGCATTGGTCCTATTCTGACAGGTTCTGCTCCAAATCTGTAGAGGTGGCCCTAGCCAGCCCTGCACTAGCTCTCACTATGAGAAGCAGTTGAACAATGTGGGAAGAAAAATGAAATTTAAAAAAGAGACTGGAGATGTGTGCTGGATGGTAAGCCACAGTGTGACCAATGTGAACTTTCCTGGGCGACTTTGAAGGCAAGAAGGCAGTAAGTGGTGTAGAGGCGTAAGGCCTACTGAAGGAGAGAAAGGGGTGAACTTTATATTTCTTGTATCCTACATTATCTTGGTGACCACGGGTGTGGCCAGCCTTGATCCATGTACACTCAGAGGGTACCTCCTGCTCTCCAGGGTGCCAAAGTCACATCAAAGTGTGTAGGGAGCTAACAGCACCAATCCCAGCACTTGGAATCAGATGTGACCTATTCCAGACCTACAGAGCCAGTTCTGGTCAGCCCTGGACTAGAGACACCGCTTACCCTCGGCTCTCCTCTGGGATGGAAATATCCTGATCCTTCAGCTATTTTGGGACCTAAACAAACTACTTCTGGATTGGGTGCTTAGAACTGACAACACCTAATCTAGGTTTGAGAGTTACCATTTCATCCCTTATTCACCCGTGATGTGAGGTCCATGACTAGCAGGAGCCCCCAGAATGTTCTCCTCTCTGGGTCTGACTTTTGTTTACCTTTCATTGTTTTTATTTGATTATTCTTTTCCCCTCATCATTCTCTCTCTTGCTTCCTAAACTTTCTATCTCCTCCTTTGTTATATCTTCCGTTTTTTCCTTCTGCTTCTCTTTCCCAGATTGTGCTGCTTATTTCTTCTTCTCCTCTCCTTTGTCATCTTTTAAAATTCCACTTTGTTTGTTTGACTATTCTCTGGTCTCTTTCTCATTTACTCATTCCTCTCACTAATTGGGTTTAGGTATTTTTATCTCTTTTTTTCTTTTTTCTTATTTTCTTTTCCTCTCCCTCTTTTCTCACATTTTTGCATTCTTTTTCTGGCTATTGACTGATTTTTTTTTTTTTTCTTTCTTTTACTATTTTCTTTTTTTACTGTTGCTTTCTGGTTTGTGCTTGTCTTACTGTCTTCCTATGTGCATATTTTCTCACCTTGCCTCACATGACAGGAGACAGCAACCACATCCAAACAGCCCAGCCTCCACCATACCTCCTAAAAGCCCATCCATTGAAAAGAGATGACACCAACACCATACACCAGATCAATGACAGCAACCAACATCAGCTAAATACATCCTGATCTCAATTGCATGAACAACAAACAGAGAATTGTGCACAAACTCGTCTCTTGATCACACCCACCAAGCAGCAGTTGGTGAGTGCCTAAGAATACTTCAACATACAACCATCAACTTAATACAAATACAACAATATCAACATGTCCTAAAAGCAGCAATCAATTTCTGATCACATTAAGAAAAACCACAAGTAGCTCAAACAAATGACCAAGAATCAGAGCTAGATAACATTTTTGAGGAAAAAAGGCATTGGAACTACCTGAAACAAAATACAAGAGAATAATATTAGGTATCTCAAGTTATTAGAAACAAGGAAGAAATCAGGAAAATATTACAGGCACAATCAAACAAAATAGATATAGGATTACACACAATACAAAACCTGCAAACAGAAATCCAGAAGATTAACACTAAGATGTCAGAAGTGGATCCTATACCAAAAGGGCAAAGGAATAAATTCACATAACTGGAAGCCCAAATTCATAATCCTTAAGATAAATCAATACTGGTAAGGTAGAAGAACAATTAGAAAAAAGAATGAAAAAATTTAAAGAAAGCCTAAGATTCATGTGGGACAACATAAAGAGGAATAATTTACAGATGATCAGCATTCCCAGAACAGGAAGAACACATGAAAGGTAGTTGAAGAGGTGTTGGAAGAACAGTTCCCTAGCATTATGAAAGATGAAACGATCATAATTCAAGAAGCTGAATGAACCCCTAGAAAGGACAGACTTCAAAAGAAAATGACCAAGACATATCATAATCAAAGAAAAGGAAAGAATCCTGAAAGCAGCTCAGGAAAATGAAAAGTTACCTACAAAAGAGAAGCAACATGATTAATCTCTGATTTCTCAGCAAAAACCTAGCAAGCAAGAAGGCAATGGAAAGACATATGCAAATCTCTGAAAGA